CACAGTGGTTGCACCAGTCTGCACTCCCACCAACAATGGAGAAGGGTTCCTTTCTCCCCACACCCCTGCCAGCATTTGTTATTGGTTGATTTCTTAATAGCAGCCATTCTTCCTGGGGTGAGGTGGAATCTCAGTGTTGTTTTCATCTGCATCTCTCGAATGACCAGTGATGCTGAATATTTTTTCCTCTTAAGTGTTATCATTTAAAGGTATGTATTGATTCCTTTCACTATAATGTTTTTCCAGTGTGTGATTCCTTTGTTTTTTCTGTTTTGCTTCTGTTTACTCTCTGTGAGATTTTTTTCTTTCCTTTTGCCTGGTGGATGTTGTATTTGTTTATTCTCTTAGTAGATTTATTCCTTCCTCTGTCCTTTTCTCCATTTAGAATTCATTAGAGTTCTGGCTTGGAGGTCATAAATTAATTTTTGGTTATTATGGAAGGTCTTTATGTCTTTTGATTTTGAAGGATACTTTTGTAATATGGGTTGGCATTTATTTTCTTTTAGAGCTTAAAGAACTTCACTCTAAGCTCTCCTGAGAAATCTGCTATTATTCTGATAGGTTTGCCCTTAGAGGTGATTTGGTGCTTCTAATAGTTTTTAGGATTCTCTCTTTATCCCGAGGTTCTGGCATTTTGACTATGGGGTGTCACAGAGGGGTTCATTTCTGATCATGTCTATTTGAGGTTCTAAATTCCTCTTTTATTAGGGTATTCATCTCATTCCCTATATTTGGGAAATTTTTACAATGATTTCAGTGAAGTTTATACCATTAGCCTCTAGTTCAGCCCCTTCTTTGTTACGGATCTCTAAGTTTGTTCTTTTAGTATCATCAAGGAGATGTTATATAATCTTTCATTAATCTTGTTGCATCATTACATGTTCTGTTACATACACCTTGTCTTCAAGTCCTCCTATGCTCTCTTCTGACTAGTCTACTGCAAAGACTTTCAATTGAATTCCTAATTTCCAGAACTTCTGCTTGATTTCTGCTATCTCTAACTCTTTACTGAAGTGGTCATTCACATCCTACAGCAGCGATGACAAACATTTTAGAGCTTTCAATTATACAAACAGCCTACTGTGGCATTGTCCTGCAGTGTGTTCCTTAATTTATTCATTTGATTATTTGTCTCTTCTTTAAGCTTATTGATCATTTTAGTAATTGATTCATTCAGTTGCTTGTCTTTTGTTTGAGCACTTTCAACTATTAGGATTTAATTATTTGGAAATGCATCCACTTCAGTGTCTGTAAAATCAGCTTTTGGGAAGTTAGACGTTTTTGTACACATCCTCATGTCTTGTTTTCTCATTGTAGTTGTGCTTCTGTGCAGAAATTTGTTAAACAGGTAGGAATAATGTCTTTTCCACTGTTATGTGGAAAGTTTTTGGTGAGTGGCTTTCTCTGACATGTCAGCAGTTGTGGGTTTATCTCCAAGTAAGTTTCCCCTTTGTTTGTTCTGTATGATAGAAACTCCAAACAATCTTTAGAGAGGAAAGAGTAACTACTAGCAATAATAACTATTGAGAAGCCAGCTCTATATTATATCAGGTAATTAAGAACTTGTTTTAGGAGATTGCTACTATTTTTCTATTCCAGAGAAAGACAGGGAGAGTAATTAAGTATAATACACTAGAAAAGATGAAAACTTACTGATCCTATTAGTATATTATCAAAGAGAGGAAAAGGAAAAAAAGAATAAGAAAAAATATTTGGGGGAAGCAAGAGACAGAAAAAGCTGTGTTGGGAAAATAAAGAAGGAAGAGAACACAAATGGGAGGTGAAAGAAATAGGAAAATTGTATCTAATCATTGAACTGACAGTCATACAAGGTTCGATGTACCAAGAAACAACTGCTGATATGGGCATTTGTGACTAAACATGCAACATTATAACAGCAACAGCAGAAAACATATATGCTTAGCTATATCCATGCATATGTATATTAAAAAGGCCAATCTTAATTTAAAAACCGGTCTTGAAAAAAAGGAAGAAAATAATTATCCTGCTTTTTTGTTGAGGCCTGGTGGACACTGGGCAGTAGCAGCTCATCTGTGTTGTCTTTAGGGATCCCATGCTCAGGAGCCTCTGGAGTTCTCAGGATGTTGGCAGGATCCTCACTCCTGGCTCTGTATCTTCTGTATCTAAAGATACACAGTGAAGCCCACAGTTCTTGGCTCCTCCTCCTACTGCAGACTCTGCTATTCTCTCCCATTTGCTCTGAATCCAGCACTCAAAGTTTACAGCTAGGCCTCTTTTCTGCAAATACTTGCTCCATCCACAATTTCAGTGGATTCAGGAGGTGGGACTGAAGCAGCACTCTTTGAGCACCAGGGCTTTTCTCAGCCCTCTGTACTCTCTCAGATGCCTGCAGTATTCCTGCTTGCTGATTTTCTGTCTGACCCATGATTTCTGGGGCTTCCAGGATCCAGAAGGAAGGAGCTTCTAGGGCATTGAGCTGGAGTGTTTTCTCCTTCCCCAGTGACCATGTGTCCCAGCTCTTTAGCATCTCCCAGGGTCCCTCTCCATCCTGAGAGTTCACCAGCATTTGGGGACCAGCAGGAGAGAGCTTTGCTGGTGCTGCTCCAAGTCTCTCCCTACCCCCAATTGTCACAGGTTCCAGTCTCTGCAAGCTGCCACATTCCTCACTGGTTCAAGAATCCCACAGTACTTGGTTCTGATCCCTGGCCAGGACCATGTCCTTCGCCTTTCTCTGTCCCCCATCCCACCACTGTCCCATGTCCTCCAGCTTGATCTTTATATGGTGCAGTGGTTCAGTGAGGCCCTCCTAGGCAAACATCTTACTACTGAGCTCCATGTCCCAGGGAAGAGCTAGGCCTGATGCACACTGGGTGGTGGCAGCCAGACTGAGCACCCATGGCATAGATTAGTGCACTTCCCAGAATGGTATATGCCCCAAACCTGGGCTGTAGGCAATGCCAAGACCTAGTGGGCGGTCCTTCTTCTTATTCTATCCACCCTTGTTTCTGAATTTCATCTGTTCTCCTCCTCCTTCAAATTGCCTTCCTGCAGCTTGCATCCCAGCAACTGTGCACCTGCTGGCCATGGCTAGTGTCCCCAAGGCTGTCCTGAGTGCTGCTGTCTCTAGCCTGCCATGATGGAACCCCCATACACGTTCTTTACAGAACAATCACAGATGCCACAAATACTATCGTAGTTCTACTCTCTGAATGCATAATTTTCTTCTACCTGATTCAAAATAACAGAATATAATATACCTAAAAACTACAATAGTTAAGTGTCTGGGTACATTTAATGTCTGGTATATTATCAAATAAAAATATATATATGAATAAAACACATATATAGCATAATGCTTTACAACTCATGTTGTTCTTCTTTTACTTTGATGTAACAAGTTTGCTCACCTTCCAACAAGGTAGCATTTTCACTTCAATATATATATATATATACACAAAATTCATAATTTTGGGGAGACTTAGTTGTATATCACAAATACAAAATATAAATTTTCACCATGGATTGTTTAAACGAAGGAAGTTTTTTTCCTTCTTTGCATTTGTTTTTGTACACTTGCCTTAGACAGGTCTAAAGTAATGTTAAGCTGGTAAGTGCATCTGTGGTTTTTATCCTACAGTTGACCACTAGATGGTGCCTTCTCCTCTAGGAAAAAATATAGGGACCCCAGGAAGTCTTCTGTTACTAAAGAATTACCTAAGAATGAGTATTTGAAAAGGATATTTGGATGAAAAAATAGAAGCTTGACTGAAGAAATTCTGTTTCACCAAAAATATTGTAAAATCTTTGGATTTCTTTGTGAATTATAAGTCCAGACTTGTCATTTTAGAATGTTCCACTGGGTGGTCAAATGTGTATATGAGAAGAACACAACGCAGCACGTATCATTTCAGAATTTGACCAAAAATGTGAATTCAAGGTCTCACATTCAAATTTTGCAGACATTTTATGCCAGGGACCCAACATTTTGATTACATCTCATTCCATCTTATTTTTTATAGAAGCAAGTTTACCTTGATCATTTCTTTAATATTAAGAACAATACTTAACACTATTCTCACTCAATGAAAGTCTTATCATTAAAATAGCACTTTATACTTAAAGATATTCCACATTACTGATCATCAATGAGCTCTCACTGTTCGTGAATAATAGTAATTAAAATAAACCCTTGTATTTTATAACGCTTTTGGTATTTCAAAAGAATATCAAATAAGTGTGCTATATTTTTGAGATAAAGCCATCAGGAAATACATTTTAACATTTCAAGAAGAATAAACAGACTTCTTGGCATTTAACAGACATTAAGTACTCACGTCCTCTATCAGAAGTTCTGATTCTGCATCTGACTTTCCTGGAAACCGGACCTTCATGTCCTTGAGAACAAACAAGGTCTGACTTGTTAAAGCATCTTCTTGTTCTTTGGTTTTCAGTTGCCGGAAAGACTCACTCTTAAATTTGAAAGAATACAGATATTTGGAGGGGGTCTTATTTCATTGTGCCAGTATAATCTGAAAGATATTTCTAGGTAAAAATGATGCAGTTTTAATTGAAAAAAAATTAAAAAGAAGAAAATAATTACATTTATGAATTAATAGCGCTAAATGGATATAAATCTCATGGGTGTCATTCAAACTTCCAAATGGTTGTATTTTATTCACTTAAAATAACAAAATGAAACCAGGAATGTTTAAAAATGATTTCCTAGTCAGTTTTGCTTGCTACAGATACCTTAGGCAATTCTTCACTAGAAAAACAAAAACAGTTGTTGCCAAGTAAAATTCATTCACCTATCTTTCCTGATTCTGTCCTTTGGAAATACCAAGATTAAATAAATAAACAAATTAAATGAATCCCTAGTCTATGTGAAGCTACTTGTCTGCAAACTAAAATCACTGATTTCCTTAATTCTAAATTTACGGAATCCATGCTAAAGAGGGAATATTTTCATTTAAGGTATAGGAAACATTATAAACAGCAGTATACTTAAGATCTCTAAGGATAATTTATTAATTTTAATCTATTAATCAATAGTCTCATTATGTAAAATTTTCCATACAACAAATTTATAGACAATATAAGGTACTCCCTAAAACCACACATTTATTCACATGATTTTCAACAATTTTATCCTACTACACAAGCAAATGGAAAATAAAACAATGCTATTCTAGTGTCTTTCATGGAGTTCTGTGATATAGTGAAGCCTGCCTTTTAGGGGTCCACACACCAAACCAAAGCATAATACAGATGAATCATCCAAATTTCAGGAGGCCATGAATTGAACTGTAAAAAGGATCTGAGGTTCAATCTGGGTTCTTAGCTGATCACCTTTGCCAACAAGATTGTGAGCATAGTGTTTTCTGAAACCCTAACGGAGCAAGCTAGATGACTTACCCCCTGAGAGTTAGAAGAGGTGCTATCATTGCTGTGAAGCAGTTGTCTTGTGTAGGAGGAAGCCCGGTTTAAGGAATGTGACCGAGATGCTGAAGTTGGCCGTGACACTGGTATCATTTGTTGAGCAGAAAAGGGGCGAGTATCCCCACTGAAAGGTGAGTGAGCAGAAATGGACCGAGGGCAACTGACTGAACGCCTCATGGAATCTATCAACAATGGAGAAGAGGGATAGTATACTAGGACTGTTAGACGTTTCCTCCAGTATTGGGTCTATATAAACTAAAGATTAGACCAGGTGGTGGCAGAGTGGTAATAAATGCGGAATCATAGTCATCTTCATGAGAAGGTAAGTTTAGAGTCAATGTGAATAGTAAACCTGGCCAGAACTCCTAAGATGTACAAATAATGGATACTGTTGGAATAATAAGTATAAACAGCACTCTAAAGTTATGTTCTCAAAACATGACATTAAAAAACAAGAAGGAAAATTAACATTTATGGAGCAACCTCTGTAAGCTTGGCACCAAGCCATGTATTGCACTTCTCCAGGTCACACAGTGATATACTGGCCAACCTCAGGCCTAAATCCTTACCTAATTCCATGATGCCATCCACTGTCCTTGTGCATAGACTGGTCATGTATTAGAATCAGTGTTTAAGTTACAGATTGAGTTCTTGACAGAAAGATTCATAGAAAGTACAAAAAACAGTATAGAGAGAACCCCAAAAAGAGTATATAGCAAGTATAATGAGTACCCAGGGCAAATAGTTAAGTTAGAGAATTTGGGAACCATGAAAAGAAAAGAAGGGAAGAAGAGAGGGAGGGAGGGAAGGACAGAGGGAGGAAAAATATAAAACTTGTCCTAATGAAGTCTAAATATACAATTGCTTATCATAAGAGTAGCACTAAACATTCTTCTTATTCACAAACATGAATAGGAAAAATTCCATCTCCAAAAGACAGGCAGATACCCACGCATACAGAGAGAGAGAGAGAGAGATTTAAAAGATTTAAGAAAAGACACAAAAAGATGAATAGGAATGTTAACATAACAAATATCTAGGAAAAACAGGAGTGATTACAATTTCCAGCCACAAAATACATGAAAAAAGAATTTTATATAGGTTTTTATATGACTGCCTTATATCAAACCAAATATATCTCTTTGAAGTCTGAATTTCCCATGTTAACTATCTACAAAAGCAAGTGCTACACATAATCTGGACTTTTGTCCTTGGTTATCAGCATGACTTCGGTGATAAACTCAAGGATAATTTGTGGCAATGATGTCCCTTAGTGTAAGATTAAAGAAAGAACATAAAACAAGATAAAACCCTAATTGTAATTCCTAATGTGCATAAAAGAAGATACATGTATGAAAATGATGTAATTGAATTAGACTAACTTTAAAATAAAAATTCATATTTAAAACTTATTAAAACACTTCAGTACAATATTGTCTGATCTCAATTTTTAACCTACTGATCAGAAAACAAAGAACCATTTCAGAACTCCCAACTTAGTGATTGCTTTTTATACTGTTCTTCTTTCTCTACTGGTTTTCTGTACAGTTCATGCTATTAAAGATAGGCATGTCAGCTAATAGGAGAGAAATTTTTAAAAGGGCAAAATTCAGAAAGTAAATGTCAAATTCCAAAACAGAACTAGAGCCATACTTAGATTGAGACATGCTGAAAGTACTTAAGGGATCCTTTAAAAACAAGGAAGTAGCCAGGGATTTAGCTCAGTGGTTTCACTGCCTGCTGCACAAGCTCAAGGACCCGAGTTCGATTCCTGGTACCAAAAAATAAAATAAAATAAAAATTTTAAAAAGGAAGTAAAATAGCTTACAAATCCTTGAACAGGTGCTCAGTAAGTATCTCTTGAATGAGTAAATAAAATAAATGGAACATAATAAATTATTTCCCCTCCAAATACACAAACCCTCAAAAATGGGAACAGTAGTAGCATGTATCTTTGTGGAATCTGGAAGCAAAGGAAAAAAATCATCCCTCTAAAATCTTAGTTTATTAGTTCTGCATTCCTTATGTATTTTGCCACAGGCATAGAAGACCAGCTTTGAAACAGACATCTCAGGGGCCGAGGATTTAGTTCAGTGGTTCCACTGCCTGCCTCGCAAGTGCAAGGTCCCGAGTTCAATCCCCGGTACCAAAAAATGATAATAATAAAATAACAAATAAAAAAAAGAAATAGGCATCTCATCAGGGAAGCTTACACAATAAACTTCTGCTGGACGTCAACAAAGGCTCCCAATTGTGTTTACTCTACTACTGAACTGATCCCTTTAGCAGAACACTAAGAATGGATATCAGAGACCTGAGTTAATAAAAGTGCTGGGTTGAGGTAGCTTCAGAAAGGTTTTCCAAGTGAGTCTTACTGATCAGAAAAAGCTATTGATCAGAAGACAGTGAGTCATGGAAAAAACAACAACAACTCTACTATATTTGGACATTTGGAGATGAAAAAAGAATCATAGGCAAGATACTTAACATCTGGGATTGAAGAAGGAATGAAATACAAGAGAAAGGATGTGAAAAGAAAGAAAGAGAGGAAGAAAAGGCGATGGAGGAGCAGATCGGCTGCTCTCAACACTTCCTACTCACCAAAAGCCCTCACTCAAGTGTTTACCCTTAATGAAAATGGGAGGGAACAAAACTTAACTATTTCACAATTGTGTGGCTCGCAGAGAGATTCAATTCAAACGCCTAGAGAGATACACACTTTTATAGGTAGATGAGAGTGTCAAAGTGGATGATGGGAGGATGGAATGAGGAAGCCTACACCAGCTTAAAAAACAAATGTAATCAGTCATAGGGCACATTTATAAAACTCATGCAAAAATCTAGAACTTAATAAAAGCTATGAAATGTACAGGAAAAATGGATCCTTAATTCAACCTTTTCTATTTTCAGAGCCTGAAAAGGATTGAGGGATGTGCCCAGGTCTAGTTAGAGAAAGCAGCAGGGTCAAACGCAGGTCTTCTCACACAAGACAAAGGTTCATTTAAGCAAAGGACCTTTTATTGAGTTCACCAGCTTAAATTCCGTAATTATCCTTATATCAACTAAATTAGAAGGAGCCGACTTACTGGACTGTTGAATTAATTTGCAGTGGCTGGACTGCTTCAGGTTATATGTAACTTGCTTTTCTTCTCTTTTCTTATTTTGATACTCTTCTTTCTCATTTTCCTCCGATTCTGAAGAGCTGCTGCTACTATCATAACTGCTGTCACTGCTGTAGTACTTCTGTCTTTTCATTATCTCAGTGCTCTCTGGCATGGAACACAGAGGCTAAAATAGAGGGGAATGTATTATAATATTACAAATTTTTAAAAAGACTTATTAACATGATCAGTAACTATTTTTAATTTTCCCCTTGTGCTTGCTGCTTTTCACTGAATGCTGAAAATATCCCAATGTGCTATTTATGCTATTTACTGTAATAAGAACCAGAGCACAGTAATGCCTCAGTTCATGAACACTTCTGTTTGCAAACAACTTGGTTCACAAACAAAAGCAATCAGCAAAATTTTGCTTCCATTTGCAAACTCCATATTAGGTGACAAACAGGAGGACCACCTTCCCCCAAATTGTAAAACAAATTAAGCATCTAAACCCTGGTACCACTGTATCCATGAACAAAGTGAAGGGAAATATTTGCAAAAAAGTATTAAAACCATAATCAGCTTTCCTGTTTACAGATAAGTTACTCGTAAGACTCAGAGACATACTCTTTGCTCCATTAACTTTGAGTCACTCAATAACAGGGGTGGGGGGTAGAAGGAGGAAGGACAAAGAGAATAAGAAAACAGCAGCCTGAGATGCCACTAGAAGTCCACATCTTAAAATACAGCCTTGGGGCCTATCCACTCAGATAATATGCAACAAAAAGTAAGGTTTTTTCTGACATGCCTAATTTGTTAGGAATGTTCGTTTGCTCATTTGTTTTGGGTGCTGGGAATTAAAACCAGGGCCTAGTGTATGCTAAGTAGTCTACGACTAAGCTACTCCTAGTCCCTGCAGTGGATAGTTATAAACATAAAATTTTAATTATCCACTTTCCAAACTGGTCATGAACAACTCATGTCTCTTTGATATACTTACTGGACATAATGGACTAACACTGCTTTTCTTTGACAACATTTTACAAGGTGATATAATGGGAAAATCAATGAGCATGACATACATTTTCTAGAGGATCAGTACCATGCAGAAGGGGAAATCTGTAAAAGTTAAAAAATGTCATGCCATTATGTTCACTGTCTCTATTCACTTGTTTCTAATCCTCTCTATCAATGTTTGCAAAGAGGCTGGCTGAAGAAATAAAAGAGAAAGGATGTGAGACAGACTCACTTCAGAAAGAAAGTGCATAACCAAGAACAAGCCAGTTTTGTAACGCTGGCATTTTAAGAAACTATTTGTTACACACACCATACGCCTCCTATTCCTGTTGGGAGAGGTTCCTACAGTTGTATACTAGCAGCTTGCTCTCTGTTAAATCAAACAAAAATGTTTTGATGTTAGCATACACCATAATGAAATCCTTGTATACCATGGGATTTCACTGAAAGAAGGTATATTCTCCAGTGTAACAGTGTAGGATGAAAGATAAAGGGAGAAATAGCTTTTAGTGAAGTGCCTGGAATACATAGTAAGCCAAAACATGATCGTCTTAAAGATGCAGCCTTTGCAAAGGATGAAATATAACCAGAGCAGGAAAGGAATTTAATACACTAAGGTACCAACTTGTGTTTAAACATATGTTCTCCTTTTGATGGTCTAATATTTACTGAGCACTAACAATGTTCAAAAAGATATGCATAGAAACATTTACCAGTAACACAATCATCAAACACTCTGACAGGCTTAGGGAATAGGAACTCTAGAGGGAGCATGTTTCTTCAGCAGTTCAGCATAACCACAAGAAACAGTGGTACAATCGGGCTTGCTAGCAGTGCCTCCCTTCATGTGGCAAACAGCTTTAAGGTTTCTTAAGGAGCTTGACTACATACTGAGCTATTTGACCCTATAAAGAATCACAAGGGAACAGATAACTGAACCTTTCTGTCATAAGTATTTGGTACTTTCTGACCAATTTACTGTTCAAGCAGTATTAGAAGTCCCAATAGCATAAATTCTAAATAGTGCCTTAACTATCAACTAGAATACTGAATCTGGTAGAGAGTTATGACACAAACTATACAACTTATTTTATGTCCAACTTTATTATGAAATAGATTTATATAAAAAATATATAAGCATATAAAGAATAATAAAAGAAATATCCAGGTACTTACCATTCTGCCTAAGAGAAAGAATATTGCTAATACTTTATGTAGCACTTATTATTTATGTAGCTAATAATATTTCTTAGATTTTTGAATGATTGAAAAGTTATTATTTCTCCTAGGACAAACATAAGTTTTATATAACAGTCATTATCTCCAATTATTCTTCTACTGGTAAAGAATTTGGACATCAAGATTTGGCATCCCTCCTAAAAGGAAGGTATTCTGACATCTGGATAACTTGAGACCCTTCATAAACAAAGTGAAAAGCTATTAAAAAAATTGTTTCATTTATGCAGCTTTAATCCACTTGGAAATACTAGTGACTTTAATATTTACAGGCACTATCCAACTCATACGTGATTTGAAGTGACTTAACTTCAACAAATACATTCCTAACTTCTACAAATACATTCCTAACTTCTACTACTTTCCTAGAATGAGTTGAAAAAAATATATGCAATGTGAATTTTGTCTCCCAAAATGTTACACTTTTATTCTAATGATGTCTTATATATATAAAGGAAAAGAGAAGACAATATAAGGGTATTTCAGGACTTTCCCATTTGCCTCTCTACCATGAACATTGTACCCCACTGATGATCTTAGGTCCAGTTAGCCTAACCATAACAACTGACATACAAAGCTTAGAAACTCCTGAATATCCAAATGAAGCCACGACACTGAAGGTATTCACTTTTTACAAATACTCTAAATATATTTCATCCAAAGAAATTATCAACTACATATTCCACAGTGCCTCAATACAGTGTACATAATTCAGAATAGTGTCTGACATACAAGGTCTCCACAGATAGGTACTTACATATCTGTCACCAGGCTCATCATGTATCATTTCACCCTCCAACTCTTCCACTTGTATCATACCAAACTTTCATGTTTCTACAACAGCCTATGCAGCATAACACTTCCATATCTTCACCTTTAAAAAGTGTTCACTCTATCCTGAATATCCTTCCACTTCTCTTAAATGTATGGAGTACTACTTGTTTTTCAATATCCAGTTCAAATGCCAATGTCTTTATGCAGTCATCCACATTCTATTGATTTGTTCCCTATGCTGCTGTAGTACTGTTACAGAATTTGCCACGTGATTTCCTGATTTGAAGGTTACACGTCTTCCACTAGTCAATAAGGTCCTCATGGACACATTCAACAAATTTTACTAATGGATTTTTACTAATGGAACTAATGATGTGCCAGACACCACACTAGATGCTACAGGTGCAGAGAAAAAGACCTACTTCCTACTTTCAAGGAGCTTATAATCTTATACTGAGGCAAACATGTGAACAATTATTTGTCTTAACTGCTCTATAAAAGTGTTATAGTACAGCAGGAGAAGGGAGATCTAAGTCTAACTGGGAGAGCCAAGGAATGACTCACAAAGGTAGCAACACAAAAGCTAGATTAGTAAGGGGGTCTCTACTCAATCCAGTAACAAATCAACGATTTGTTTTAGTGTACATACATTTCAGAGGCGTGGAAAAGCATGAGAACACAATACAGGATGATTGTAAGGATGCAGAGATAACTTAGAAATGCTGAAATGTAAAAGGAACAGAATGAAAACAAGCTTCCAAGACTTCAAATTCAACTCTTTCCTTTTTCACTAGCAAGGACTTTGATATATATCAGAACATACGGATGTTATCACCACAGAGCAGATGCAAGTAAGACAAACACTTGTTCTTTTTTGCCTACCGGGTAGCTTTTAATTTATTTATTCCTAGGAATCCCATCTATTGTTACTACCACCCTGTCCCTGTTGCTAGGTTAACCAAAGATGGGACTCCCTACCAATAAAAGTCCCTACAGTGATGATTCATCTTATATTTGATGCTACATATATCTTTGATAATTACATCTAATTTGGTGTAAGGAAAATTTAATTAGTTTAGAAAAGGGGTACAATGCAGTTCTAGGTCCCTCTGATTCATAGAGCTTTCTGTAGCACTAGGGAAAGAACCAAAAAATGAAGGAAACTAACAAAACAAAACTTCTATTGTGCATAAAAATAACATTACCTTTCCAATTCTACCTGCACTGGACACATAGTCCCCACAGTTTTTTGAAAGCAGCACTATCCTTATAATGAGAGCTATTAAGGGGAAAAGCAATTATACTCAGTGGCACCTGCTTAGATACTAAAAAAGGGTAGAGATACAGCACCTTTGGTCCTCGATGCTTGGTAGTTTTTCCCATCAACTTTTCATCATCAATTTCACATTGTTCCAGAAGATCCAAAATATCTTCCTCCTGCAAAAAAAAATATTTATACAATTGCAATCCCTAACAGACTCCAGAATTTTTCTAACTTCATTAATCTCCATAAAATAATGTACAAGTGTTCCTGAAACTATTCAGTAAAGATTGTTCAGATCAAAAGTGAAATAAAGCTTTATGGCAAGCTCTCCTGAAGAAACATTCAGCAAAACCTGTCAGTATAAATGATGCATAGCTGAATCTACAATACATTATCACGGTATACTATTAAAATTTTAGAATATACTACTTCAATAAATAACACATTGCACATTAAAAGTTTTGGAAATTCACTCTAATTCTCCAGACTGCAATTTCATTAACCATTTCTACACTGATTATGTAAACTAATATTAAAACTCCAGATAGAGAACTGAAGATTGCCTGCAAGAAATATGCAGCCTATGGGTGGGACATAATTGTGTCATAATGAAAATATAAACAAATGAAGTTTTGTTGCTTATGTATGTTAACTCCATTCAAGATTATATATGCAACCCATGGCAATTCCTCATCACTCAATGGGGCCAGGCAAGCCAGGCTGTCCAACCCTTGAGCCTGGGTTATACACACTTGGCAAAGGAGCTTCATTTAGAACCAAACTAACTGTAGTATTTGGTTAATGAGTCCCGTTTAATGAAATAGTTTAGAAAATTTAACTACTGCAAGTGTATTTTTACAGCTTTATGAAGTTTTCATTCTATAGCTATGAGTGTAAATGCCTTAGTAACCTTCTCTTGTGTTCTTCTAGAGTCATTTTGAAGTCAAACAGAAAAATTACAAAAGCATAAATCCCAGTGGAGGTTGAAGAAACTAGAGTAACAGGAATATTGTAAAAGACATAATTAACTGCTTCATTTTGTCATTTATTCAAACTATAAAAATAGAAAAACTATATATATTTATGATGTATACTTCAATATCCTCTTTAAAATTTTTTAGAAGAAACTAGAAATCTTGCTGTAGAGTCTAGCTTATGAAATAAGTTATTCTTTATCCAAATCTAAGGGAAATTAGCTGTTAAAATACTACAAGACTCTTGCCATAGATTTGATTAAAGAATAATCCTGCAATGAATTCCATGGATAGTAGCAAGAGATAGCTAAAAATAATCTCAAAAGTTCTGTTTCTAATAATGATAACAACAGACAGTACTGTGCTTTCATTCTAAGAGATATAAAAAGCCAGATGAACTAAACAATCACATTTTTAAAAGAATCAGAAAGCTGTTGAAAAGTAATGTAAAGAAATTAAATTCCAGAGAAGGGAACAAGAGACAAGTTCTTCCTAAGTGGACAGAGATGAGTGTCACTTTTTTTTTTTTAATTCTTTTATTGGTACATTGTAGGTATATAACACAATTACATTTCTCATTGGGAACTGTACCTTTACATAATGCATCTTGGTTCTTATTTTTTCCCCATTCCTAGCCCTCCCTTGAGTGTCACTTTTTGGTATAGGGTCTTTCATCAAATCTTTTTTTTTTTTTTTGGTACTAGGGATTGAACTCCAGACCTTGTGCTTGCAAGGCAGGCGGTGGAACCACTGAGCTAAATCCCCAACCCATCATCAAGTCTTGAAATAGATGGGTAGAAATCAAGTCTATCATAGGCAAAGAAATTCAGCTGGCATGAAGAGAATCCTCTTGAAATGTTCCCTTTTGAAAACCTGAGATACCACCAGATGTTCAGTTGTCTCATCTGACACACCACGTATGTCAATAAAGCCACATTAGGCTTCTAGTCCCTGATGAGTGCAAGAAATTCTGCCTTCAGATAAATAAAACTACATCATTCACCGTAGGCAAGATCAGCAAAAGAACGGTTCCTACCAAGACTACAGAATAATGAGCAAATACATACAGTGCTTTGTTATGTTGCAATTGATAACTGATAGACTTTTCAATAGGATAAACGGGGCGGGGGGGGGAGAGGGAGGATTTAAGTGTGTCTGTTTAATTACTCTGATATACCAGGTCTATGCAGTATCAAGAAAAATACTACATAATGTTAGTTATAATTCAAAGAAGGAGACTGTCACAAGTCACTATGTTAACTCCATGAATTTCTTCATCCAGTTATATCTATGTCATAAAACATATTATTATAATAGTCATGATATCACACCAAAATTCTCTACTCCAAAATTTATTCTGTCAGATATCTTAATTATGAAGTCATCTGAGTTGTTATGAAATTACCAACGGTTACCAACTGTTAAAATGAAAAGACTAAAGTGCATCATAAAAGTAAAAATGTATATGTAGGAGCAAGAGTGATAGCTGTTAAAGACATGGTGTTTGGTTTCATTCATTTTTCTGTGTGTAAGTATTCACCCTCTCACCTTCATCTTTTTCAAGGGATTATTCAGCTCTCGCTGGAATGAAGCTGCTCTCCCTGAAAGAAAGGTCTGAAAGGCAACAGCCAACAAGTTTTCATACTTTTCAAGTAGTGTTTTATCTTCAGGAGGATAAATTCGTCTACAATAAAATCAGATAAACCAATTTGTTAAAAAGAAAGAGAAGCTATTACAGCTCAGTTCTTGAGGCATCTGCTTCAATCATCACCCTCTTTCTCTGTGATAGTTATTTTATTAGGAGCTAGAAATAAAGATGAACAATTATGCAAAATTTATAAATTTTCATGTGTTACTTACACAAATTAAAGTTTGTGTAGAGAAGTACCATTAAAGAATGCAGTTCCAGAAGATACATTATAAGCATTAAGGTGACAGAAACGGCTGGTAAAAAATGGAAGTTGGGCAAATTGCTGAAATACAGAACTCTATGGGGTAGGAGTTCAGTGGATAGGGGACACTGCAGAAGTTCTGACTCGCTGTAGGAACTCAAGTATCCAAGAGCAGAGTATGAGTTATGGTGATCTATTTTGGGGTAATAACATGAGAAAGGGGTAGAGGAAGGGTGAGAGGGATGTGTTCTCCTCACTACTACGGCAGTATTATGGCCAGGAAAGAACATCTTACCAGGGAGGATAGGAACTCCACACCCGCCCTTACACCTCCCTTAATCTTGCTGAGGCAATGTCAATGCCTGGGAAGAAGGCAGCAGTGCCTACAACATAAGGAACTTATAGGGTCCTCCTCTGATCCTGTCAAGGTTGATAATGTGAGGGGTTCCAGGTCAACACAGTCCACATCTGTCTACTGTCTCGACACCTGGCTCCTTCAAATATTTTCTTATTTTGCCTGGTTTACAGCAAAGTATAGCAACCACAATGAGTTGGCAAAAACAATACCAGAAAGCCTGAATTTTCATTTTCTTAAAATACTATGTACCAAGCAAAATAATCACAGAAGAGCAGCTGGATATAAAGACAGGCACCCTAAGGCTTGCTAGCAGGAGGGTTCAAATCAAAACCCTTTTCTGTCTTGAAAAATAAGAAGCAAAAAGCACATTCTCAGAAAGAAAGAACAATTCTTAAAATAAGCCTAAAAGGTTAAAGAATGACTGTTCTGACCCTTCACTGCTTCAATCTACACAAAAATGGCATCATAGTTACCTGTAATTCCCCATGTGTCGGTTTTCATGTTCTTCTTGTGAAATCTGCTTTCGTACTTGAGCAAGTCTCTCTTTCTAGAAATGAAGAAATTTTACAAATGAAACCTGATAAATGAGTGATTTATACAAATTGTGAGTAGTCTATTAAAATATTCATACTGTTCAGAGGATGTAGCTCAATGCAAAAGTGCTTCTGGAGGCCCCGGGTTCAATCCCTAGCACTTGCAAAATAAACAAAATAAAATATTCATACCAACTCTTCTTTCCTCCTCTCCAGCTGGTGCCTCTGCTGTTCCCAGTCTGAGGAACCTGGTAAGAGCCTTTTTATTGAATTTTGACCATAAAGCCTCCTTTGAGCCTCTGCTTTTTGCTTGGCCAAGTTTCTTCTCTTATCACTGGTCCTAAAATATGAAACACAAGATCGTTTTCTAAAACTTTAATGAGGTCTGATTTTATCCCTGTGAAGAGAATTTGCAGAAGGGGAGACAGTGCACAAAGGTATCAAGATTATTAAACTTACATATTCACATGCATTACATTCATCTAATTATCCATCAAATACGGGACTGTATATCCTAAGTCAAAGTTCTGAAGATAACAAGATAAAATGGAAGCACTAAATGTTAAAGAGTCTGAGAGAACTATTCTTATATTCTATCCTAGCAACTTAGAAAGTCTACAGTCTTAGACTGGTCAATTAGCTGCCACATCTGCTTGCTTCTATTAAATTTTAAGAATAATAATGTTTCCTTCCTAGAGTTTCTATGGAGATTAATTTGTATAAACATTAACAAATGGTATTCTCAGGGCCAAGGATTTAGCTCAGTAGTTCCGCTGCCTGCCTTGCAAGTGCAAGGACCTGAGTTTGATCCCTGGTACCAAAAAAACCCCCCAAAAACCCCCCAAAAAAACCAAAAATGGTATTCTCTTCTCCTTCAGTTAATTCCATTTTATTAAGCACCCTCATTTACACCGACAGGTCTTTAGTACATTTTCAGTTATAACTGAAATCCCAGCCTAAGAGTCATCTTTTGTTTGAAACTAATCTATACAGTTCTTCTCATTTCCACTCAACCCTAAACATCTATTGGTAATGCTCTGTTTATTACAGAAGCACGTCTGTAAGTACTTCTGTTCTTTAGCTTCTGCACCTCTTTTCTCTCTTCTCTCCCATATCCAGGGTCTCTCCACAATCGCTCCAACTTGCACTCTCACATATCACCCTTTTAAATCCTATCAGAAATAGGATGTGATCCAGGAGAAAAGAAAAACAGCCAATTTTGCCCCATTCCTAGGTAAAAACTAGAGGTCATATCCTTGAGCTTATATTTCCATGCTTTCTATTGTCATTAGCCTGGTAGGACCCAGTATGGATGTGAAGCAAAGAAAAGCTAATGAGAGGGGCATTTGACCACTTCTATTGTACAGAGATGCAAACATCGTGCTTGAGTTTCTCTTTGGTCCCATTCATCAGAAGACTACACTGAAAATAGGAGGCTCAGACTAGACAGAAGAGTGTTTTTCTGCCACAAGTATGTGCCACCTTTACAACTCCAAGTAGTAGGAAAGAGCAAGGAAACTGACTCATTCTCTATAACAACACTGGCTTCTTGGCAGGGGTTCAACAGGTGACCAGAATAAAAGGAATATTTTGAGAAAATGAACACATCCAAGAAAATCAGAAGTCATTCAGTGTGGCTGGAGCTATGGGTGAATGTAAGAAACTCAGCTAATCCTAGGTGCTTACTACTAGGACACTAAGTTTCAAATTTAACTTCAGGCAATGAAAAGGCCATGAATTTTAAAGAGAGAAGGCCATAATCATATTTGCATGTGTTCAGATTATGTCTTTGGCAGTGTGTTCAGTGTATAATGGCTTAGAAAATAATGATAGTGGATAAGAAAATAAGGAAGTCAGGATGAGATGCCATTTCATTAACAAGTATGAAATATGAGGGCCTGGACCAGGGAAACAACCATGAGATTGCAGAAAATGTGTAATTATAGAATATTTTGGAGGAAGAATAAATATGCTTTGGTGACTAATTAAAATAAGAAAAAAGGATGAACTTGCGATGATACTAAGACTCCTGATTTAGTGACTGGATGATTGTGAATATTATTTTTCCAGTGATGAATATAATTTGGCTCTGAGTTTCCCAGATTAACAAAAGAGAATGCCGTGGATTAAATAAATTTTAATGTTTTATATTTTTATATTCATCTCATCCAAAATGGTCATTTCTATATAACATTCAGTTTAAAGGTAGGAGCAGAGAAGAGGAAAGATATAAAAGCACTGAAAATGAACAGAAAGGAACAATGACCAAAAAGTAATAGAGAAAGGAAGTAAAAACAAGAGAATAAAGAAGGACAAATACAAATGGACTGAAATGGTTCGGTCAGATTTATGTGCACTTTCACAGCAATCAAAACACAATTAGAGAAGGATACTGACATCAATCGTTAAACACACAAACAAGAGTAACAAAAATATAAGCATGCACAGAGGTTCTCTTAGATACATTATGAAATGAAAAGCCAAGCACACTGAGACTTTTCTTTTTATGATATGGTCTTTGATCAGAAAACAGGTAAATTAACAAGCAGTATGATTACTTCTGGAATTCACAAATCAGAACCATACCAGAATTACAAATGTAAGCCTTAAAGCAACAACTGTGATTAAGATAATGACATTTTACCTAGAATATTCTCTTTATATGCTGGCCTTCAGAAATACTGTCACTGCAAAAACTGTGTCTGTATTTCAATAAATGCAGGCATAAATTAACACTAATGACCTTGAGTACTTAACTTGACACCCTAGAATAAAATTTAACCAAGGACCAAAAGATCCCACTCAGTGTTTTAATCAACATCTTCTATTGAACTGTATCCATACGCTGACCTAAGGAGTTTTGTTTACCATTTTCAATGACTTTCCAGTACTCGTTACTCTGTGATTTTATCTGAGGGACATTTCCAACTGCTTGCCTCATATATTCTATGTTCCAGTAACATAAAAGCACTGGAAAGTCTATGAACATGTTTGACTTCTGACTTCGTTATTTTTCTGCAAAATTTACCTTGAATGAAATGTCTTCTCTTACCCCTGCCTTCCAACACAATTGCATTTAGTCCTCAGTATATTCTGTTCTAGATACGGCTCGAGGGATAAAAAGACAGAGGCATTACCCTCTAGGAGCTGATGACTAAACAGGTGGGGCTGGCATGTAAATAAATACATAGGGCAAAAAAGTGCATTTACAATGTCATGGAAAGAATAATAATAAAACAAAGGAGGAAGTAAGCCATGGTGCTTTATAAACTCAGGCTTCAGCTAGGTTTTAAAAATAAGTTGATACAAATAGTGTCAATACATATACTGTGGTTTAGGCATGGTCTGTCTCCTAAAGGTTCATGTGGTGGAAATTTGGTCCCCCACTGGAAAGGATTAAAAGTGACAGGGTCTTTAAGAGGCAGAACCTACGGGGGCAATTAGGTCAAAGGGTACCACCCTCATCAGTGAATTACTATCCTTCTCCAGAGACTGCGTTAGTTCTCTCAAGACTGGATTAGGTCTCGTAGGAGTAAATTGGGTCTTTTGGGATTGAATTAGCTACAGCTTACTAGCCTGGATTTTCATGTGGATGGTTTTTGCCATTAACTAACAAAGAAAGATGGAAAACTAGATATAGGTGATTACTATTGCCTTTAATAGCTAAGATACTTAAGGAATGGGGCTGGGGATTTACCTCAGTGGTTCTGCCACCTGCCTCGCAAGCGAGCAGAAGGTCCTGAGTTCGATCCCCCATACCAAAAACAAAAAACAAAACAAAACAGATACTTAAGGAAAGAAAATTGCATTTTTTAAAAATCTTTAGCTTCTAGGACAGTATAGGTTCTTTTTAAATGTCCAGTAACATAAGAATTAGATCTAGCCTTTGTGGTTTGTAGGTATGTGATAATCTTTAGCAGAAAAAAAGGAGATGAACCCAGAGAGAGGAATATGCTTGAAGGAGAAAATAATTCAACCTTGATCATATTAAATTTAAGTGTCATCTGAACATGCACCCTTCCTTTATTTGCTTACTTGCTTGCTTTCTCACTACTTGTTTTCTGAGCACCTACCAACCCGGACACGCAGCGGACACAGTTAGCCAAGAGCTGACAATGCAGAACCAGCTCCACGGCAGGTCAGAGCTGGCAAGCGGCTCCCAGTCTATACCTTACTCTATACATGTGCAGACTGGGGACTACAAGTTCAGACTCACAAATGATGCCACAAACGTGAATGAAACTGATATGGAAGGAAAGAGAGCTGAGGCAAGGAAACAGTGAAAAACAAACAACCAAGAGAGACCAAGAACTAAGAGAAACCATATAAGGAAGCAGAACACTCAAACCTAAGTGAACTGAGAGACCAGTATCAAGAGACTACCAAGAATAAATCTTCAAGGTCAGAGTAGTATTAAACGCTGCCAAGCAGAAGTCCATAATTTAGTTCCAAATAAGGGATATTTAATTGGTCCATGCAGAAACCCTTTCACTCTCTGCTATCTCTGAAGATCCTGAACCTGATGTTTCAAAAAGATTATTTGAATCTGACCTCAAATTATATTCAGTCATCCAAATTACAAAGGGATCAACTGAATTCTTTCTCAAAAATATCAGACTGACAGAATAATCGAAAAAAAATTTATAGTTCGTGTACCAAAATTTTACAGTTTTCCTTCTCTCATTAAATTTTTTGGTTTGTGCTCGGAAGTTTGTAATCTTTTGATAAATGCTATTAAAAATGCGAAAAAGGAAGCTAACCAAAAAAGAGATAATTCCAATAGTCTGGTTAAAATGAACATTCATGGGGGATTTCTGGATTCACAGAGTAACTGTCCAACATTAAAATAATGTATATGAAAATTAAACCCATCATATTTACTAACAGGCAAGAATGTCCCTAATGTTCTTAGTTTGGCATAGGTTGCTGTGATGTGCTCAGCACAGTCCCATGCACAAAGAAACTCCAACGCAGCCCTGTGCCCTGAAGCCCTCAGTCTGGAGGGCAGAGCAAGGCAGTCTGCAAAGTAGGCCCTCCTTCCCCTGTGCTCTAAATGTTACAAATTGTGCTAAGTCCTCTGGGCATGCAACACAAAGAAAGACCAGCAAGTAGAATTCCACCTTTCCCTTTGTCTTCTGTTTAGAAACTTCTCCTTTAACTGCACATACTTCACCTTTAAAAGTCCAGACAATTTCTGAACTGTTACCCTCACTAGTACAGCTAAAAGACATGCCAAGGGGAAAAAAAAGACTAAGCATAAAGCTTAGCAATAATAGTAAACTTTCATGCCAAAATATTGTTACAGGAATATTGCTTAAATAATCTAAAATATTTAACACATTTGTATACACTAAACAACAACAACAAAAATACCCCATTCTACATCTCCTTCCTTTCTACTAATGTCTTTTTGTTCATTTATACTATTTCTTTTAGGATAACTGAACTACAAGTGAAGTTTAGACAAGTGGATCTCTCATCAGGTAAAAAAAGAAGTCGCATGATACAAGTTTCTATGTTCATCTCTTTTTTTTTAATGATGCTTTTCCACATAGAGCTACTTCTCAATCAGGTACATGCTTGGAAATATCTTTTAAAATTGCTTGGAAGCATCCCATAATCCTTCCAAAGTCTTTGAATGACAGAATAAATGGAAATCACAAACTCCCTGAGCCTAACTGGCATCAGAGGTCCAGTAATCTGACACCTGTGCTTTCCTTGAACACTTACAATGACAGACAGCTCATTATTCATGAAGAGTTCATTTACACTTCTAACCATTTTCTTTAGTAGTGTGCCCAAAACTCTCCCCGCATAACTGTATTTCAAATTCTTAAAATCCATGAACATGTACAATGCAATCAGCCTACTACCACACCAAATAAGTCTTCTCTCAAATTGTTCTTCACTCACTCTCTGTCTATGCTTTCCTAGGATAAAGGTTGCCCTTCACTGTGAACAATAGCATCTCTCTTCTTTGTGGGAAGACTTATGAATAGAAAAGTAGGGAATCCACATCTGAAATTTTTCTTTATTTCCTGAATGACCTCTCTGTGCTTCAGTTTCTTCTTGGAGAATGAGGACAAGCTACAGGGTCTTCTATGATATTGTCCAATTCAACCTCCTACACTATATTAAATAATTAACCACCATTGGAATTTAACCACATTTACTGCAGGCAGAGTATTATATCGGTGGTAGGAAAAGCAATGTACAAAGGAGAAAGATTTATTTGAACCTATCTAGTTGTAAAAGAATGGAATCAAAAAAATTCAAAATACAAAACAAAAGCTTAAAGCCAATTTCATGTATAAATGACTTATCAATGTCAAATGTTGAAAAAAGATTCAAAATATGGGGGAAATACTTTACCTGATGTTCAGCAGTTTCAGTGCATTCAGCAGCACTCCCCGTTTTACATCGTAGTCTATTTTCTGATCAGTTCCAAAGCTTGGAGCTCGATTAATCTGAAATTTACCAAAAGACAATGAGGAAAGGCAAAATGCTTTTTAATCTAATGGGATCTCCAGTCCTTACAAGGGCTCTAGAGAATCTCAAAGCTCTGTGCGGTGCGAGGCCCGGCTACTGCTGCCCCATATCTGCTGCCCATCACCAGTCCCTGCAGCCCTCAGACCAAGACTTCTCAGAGACCATCTTCTGGCACTCTCTCCAAACCACTACCTCATACCTTCGAGATTTTAAGATTAAGAAAGCTAAAGGTGACTTATTTTGACAAAAAGTTGGAAGAACAATTAAAGTGCTATTCACGTTACCAACACAGCAACAATTATATACATGGACGGCATGTAGAAAATATCAGTGCCCGCTTTTCACTGCTTCATATATTCCTATGAGTTCATCTCCTTCTGCTTAAAAAATAAATTTTGTTTCTTTCTACCTGGCTCAAACAAGAATTTATCAATTTCCATTTCAAAAAGGTATTGACTGAACAACTCAGAAGTTAAGCTTAAAGGTAGCTGCAGGCCAACCTCTGTGGGCTTTCTTAATAGTGTAAAGAGTAATGGAGAGAAATAAGCCATTTGGGTCTATCCTACTTTGTGTCATCATCTCCAGGAATTCATCTAGGTGGAAAACAAGAAGCAACTTTATATACCTTAAAATCCATCATACAATAGTCTATCACTTCAAGAACAGGTGCTTCTTTGTTTTTATTAATGTTGTGAAAATTAACTAGTGTAGCATGTGTTTTAGAAAATTGCTTAAATCAGGTGGTTAGAACATTGCTGAGTTCAAAACTACAGGTTTGTTTCTACAACACCAACTAATCCCTGAGGCTATCTCAACAAAAATATCTTCTGCTAGTTGTAACTGTACAAATCCATCGACACAAAGACAAAATCTCTCAGTTCCCCCAGCCTCTATCCTACCTTCTTCAGCCTTAAAATCTCTGTCCAAATGTTCCTTCTGAAAAGACTTTCAAAAAACTCTCTGATATACACATTAACAAAGAGACATTAATCACTCTATTGCTTATGCTATTTTCTTGTTTTCCTATCAATTCTTACAACTACTACACATCTGAGTCTCCACTAGACCAAGTATTCTGTCTAGTTCTTGTATCTCCACCACCTAGCACAATGACTACAACTTAATAGGCCTTTATAATTTACAAGGACTTACAACATTGGCAGTCCATTCATACTCCACAATTTTCCACTCTAAAAAAGTTTTCAATGCTTGAAATTTTCTTCAGTTTTGCCAGTACTGATGGATATCTGAAATTATTCTAGTTAGCTAAAATTTGGCACTTTCTTGACGTACCTTCTACTTTATTCCACTTGGTGGCGCCAAAAGGCTTGTAACAATATACTACCAGAACCACTGCAATTTCAGCAGAGAACAATACACAAAGCAAGACCTAAAAAGGTTAACTATTTTAAAATCCTAAATGCCCACTATACACAGTTTTTGATTACTGTGGAGTTTTTAATGGCTCATTGATCTGGAAACAATGAAAGAGAAGATAAAGAATAAAGCAGCATGTTATTTTGAGCCTTTAAAAAATAGAATTAAATTATTGTCAACTATGGTTTAGCAAATTAATGAAAAATTTCAGTAAGTCAAATGCCTTTTTTTAAAGGTACCAACAATATTTATAAAGTCATTATTCTCTGCAATTCTTTCAGTTCTTTCTCATGCAAATACCTTCACTGCTTGTTTATCCATCAAGAATTTTAAAAACAAGTAGCAGAGGCAGGAAAAGCACAGTTAAGAACAGGAAAGGGCTACTATAGACAAAGAAGCAAATCTAAAGATGAAAATATCAGCCTTTAGTAAGATTAAGGGCCCAGGCAATGGAAGAAGCAATGGGTTAGCAAAGTCCTCGGATCTATTTCTAAAGACCCAGGCTACATCAAATATGAACAGCCAGTTGAGAACCATTATTTGCTTGGAAATGTAACACATATTATTTGTTCATAGTAGATGGACACTCTATCAATCTCTCTCCATTAAATGAGAAAGTGTTCATTCCTTAATGTTACAAATATAACTTCCAACTTCTAAATCACTAACAAAAAAAGAGATAATCAATTTAAAATGAAAGTAGTGGTAGATTATATCTTCTATAGTAAAACATTCCTTATCATGTAATTTAGTAAACATTGTTTAGATATTTGCTACTTTCCTGGTAGTGGCCTAAATAATATTTTAATAGCCCAGAGAAAAAAACTAGGATCCAAGATCCGAGAGCCTACAGAGAACTGCTGGATGGGGCACTGCTGGACAACATGACTTCTAAGGTCCCATATGGTGATTAAGTATGACTGGCAGGAAATGCAAATATCTCCAACAGAGATCATCTTTATTTTCTCACTTATATTTTCTCACTTTTCAAATACTGTTAGGTGACCTTTTATAATCACAGAAAAATAATGACAACTCTGACCTTACCAGAGCTGGGCAGCAAAACCCAAAGGTATACAGCTGACCAGCTATACATACAGAAGGGGAGCCCCAGGCATTAAGGAGAACTCATATCTGCTGGGGTGCTGAGTTCTAAATAATGAATAATGAACCAACTGGAGCCTCTGTCTTTCCTCTTGGAACATAGGGTGCTGAAGAGAAGGCATCCACGCTGAGAAAGGGAATGTCTAGAGCTCATGAGGTGGTAATTCTATAAGGTTGAGAAAATAGAACACTTAACTCAGTAACAGGAGAGCCACCCTTATATTAAAAAACCTCTGATCTAAAACTCACTCAGTGAATGCTAATCTGGAACAGCAATATCAAAATACGTATGAATTCATTCCTAGAAGTTCTGGTCCCCTAATTTTCATTCTCTTCCTCCCACACACTCCAGGCCTCCTCCCAGTCGGCTAAGGGGAACAACTATGTCAAGTACACATATAAAACACATTCGTCTCAATACACAAGAACTGTGATGACCTCTTTTTCTTTTTAAAGACCACCTTACCTCCAGAAGCCACGGCTTTAGTTTTCTATCCAATAAAATGTCAAATCCCAGAACTTCGAAACACACACTTTCACTTCCTGGAGGCTGGCCAGGTCTGCACATTCGATAGGCGTGTAGGACATGAGGTTCTGCTACAATCAATGTCTTTACCACCAGGTCCTATAGAGATTGTGACAAAAGGGGTGAAATGCCTGATTTCTCTGTAGCCCATTTACATGTGAACAAACATGACGTGGGCCTCCTAACTGGCTTTCTGGCCAGAAGGAAAGGGCTCTATACTATCCAGCCCCTGCCACTGTTGACCTAATTTCCTTCATCCTTTCCCTTTCCTGCACCGTACTTTCTTTGGGTTTTTCAAGTCAGTGGCGCTTCCTCTGACCATAGGTCCTCAGCACTGGCTATTCCTTCATCCTGGAACACTCCCCTAAGTCTGACCCTGTGATATTCAGTGAGGCCTTCACTGGCCCCATTTGAAAGTAACTACCAACCATTCCTACAGCATCACACAGCATATAAACTGGGTTTTTTTTAAATCAGAGCATAGTTCTTTTCTGTCTTATTTAATAACAGCCCCATTCCCAGTGCATCACACTTAGTAGATGCTTAAAAACATCTGTGAATAGGGGCTGGGGATTTAGTTCAGTGGTTCTGCCACCTTCCTTGCAAGCACAAGGTCCAGAGTTCATTCCCTGGTACCAAAAAAAAAATCTGTGAACAAATAAGTAAAAGTTAATCAATGTTCTTTCTATTTATTAAATATGTAAGAGTTCGATTGTGTGCTCACCCCATACGAAAGGGAAAGGGGATGACCAGAAAGAAAATTTCCGAGGAGAGTACTTTTATTCTGCAAACACTATGAACCTCTTCTTAGACCAAGGTTGAAAGGATTAGAGAGACAGAATCTACAAGAGTTGAGTTTCACCACTACAGTGGAGATTTTGTAATTCATAAGATTTATCTGAGAAAATACTTCTAATTAAAGAATTTACTATCAATACTTTCTTTTTCTAAATATTGAACTTTGAAAGTGTTAATATGAAAGTTGGAATAAGTTTTCCAAATCCACCGTGAAACTGACTGCAGAGAACGCATTGTGTCCTAACTCCTGAAGCTCCTGAACAAGTCACTGCTTTTTTGCTTTATTTTTAGGGGCACCTGTTCGTGGTACATAATGCTTACACTCCTCACAGGGAGCCAGTACGTGTACGTGCGCCCACGGGTCTCCATGTCCTTCCCCAGCCTTCTTGCCCCCTTCCCTCGATCTCTTGGCCTTCTTTCTTTTTGCAAAAGATCTATCTCCCTGCTGCTATTAACATTTTCTGTGAAAAAACATACACGGTTACTAGGATAAGTGACGGACACTATTTTAAAAAGTTGTTTTATTGAAGTTTGAGAACAAGCAATGACTTATGAAAAATCCAGCAATCTCATGTTCTTCACTTAAAACACAGTATATATTAGCTGCCTAACTTCTGCCCTACAAGCACAAGCAGTAGACGAAGGCAAAAAAGAACTTGACTCTCAAGTCAGACTCTGGGTTTGTTCTTGGCTTTGCTACTTGACACCTGGGTAGCCTCAAATCAGGTTGCTTAAACTTTGAATCTCATTTTTCCCAAATGTAAACTGCAAAAGGTTGGCGTAAGGACAAAACGGGATTCCATGTAGCATGATGCCTATATTAAAGTTTCAATACATGTTAGCTACTTAACGATTATTGTTAAACTGCCATTTTTCTAGAACTCCACTTGGTAAGTTAGGTCAGACACAAATATTACACTACCTGGGGAAGTAGTGTTTATCACATAGGACAGAGAAGGAGGATAGTCATTAGTTTCACTGTCACCCAGAACCACAGTCCACTTCAGATCTGGGGATAAATATCAGACATGCCACAAAAGGTTGTGAAAAAACAAAAGGAAGTTATGTTTTAGATCTCAAAGGGTGTAAGATGAGAGATAAAAAGCCACTTCACATAAATCTATGGAAATATCTTTGAAACAACTTAAGAGTGGAAAAAAACCCTCTGACCAATAAAAGTATCTCTGTGAAACAACATAGGCCGGATAGGGTAACAGTGAATATCACTGAGTTACAAATTTATGTTCTTGCTACACAGAAAAAAACAACACACTTTTAGAGAGTAAGGGCAAAACTACAAATAGATGTGAAAGTTAGAACCAATATAACCAAACACAAATGAAATTCTCCTACTGCCTTTCAGCATTTCCAACATAGTGTTCTTGCTTTGAAATATCATTTATAGTTGTGTCTTTTAAGTACGTAAACAGTATTCAGTAGGAATGGCTTTATGAGTCATCCTAGTCATTTTTATTTCCATGCCCAAACTTTCTATGGATTTCTTTTTCATTGTTGACACAAAGCACACAACTCTGTTCTTCACAGGGCGGTTAATGAATATATATATATATATATAT